CGTCGGTGCACAACTTGGACCCTTGCTTTGCCAAACGTTCCCCAAACATTCACGGCGCCCAACTGCAGGCTTTAACAATCCACTTTGCTATTCAAGGCGTACTTGCCGACAGTGCGGATGTAAGCGAAAGGCTGCCGATTTCTAAGCTCTGAGAATCGATATGCTTTGAAGGGTTTAAAACTTGACATCCTACCGTGTACATGGGCATGGGTGGCAAGTACGCAGCTTACTGCAGGCTTAAAAAATCCACTTTGCTATTTAATGTTACCAATATCCGTACAATCTGATGTAAAGGTGTGTGTGTGCACGCGTGCACATGTGATTTTTTTTTTAACATTTTATCTGAAATCTCTTCCTACGAGTACTTTGTGACTGAGTTAATCCGATTCGTGTGGTTCGCGTTGAGATGGCTATCGCAATAGAAAAGGTATCCTGATATTTACTCTTCCTCTCAACCACGTGCACCCCAGCATGTCAAAGGCAGTTTGCACAATGCACCACTTCTAGATTTGCAAATGAGATTACACAGGAAATGTATTTCAGTGCAAGGTGATGGCCACTGAGACGACAGGGCAGCCAATTCCAAGGTTAGACCGTACTTCTATGCTCCTGTGGCATCGCTCCCCAGGTTCACCAACCAGTACTGACCAGTTCTTAATCTACCGCTGGATGTTGCTGTGCATGTCATGTGGGGGTTACTTGACCGTACTGATTGTGTTTGTTGTCCTTCCCCCGCACCTCCGATTAGCACGGTTGGCGACGTACGGTGCGATAGAAGTTCAACATATATACGTACTTAGCGAAAGTGGAGAGCATAGAAGTACATGGCAGCAGAGTGTTTTGCTCCACTGCCCTCTGCTGCCCGCCAATAGTACCGCAGCAGCCCGTAGCAACCTGTTGTGCACGTGATCCTCTGTCGCCAGAGAACACGTGGTGATTTTAAGGGAACCAGTAGTGCAACAACCCCGGCTGCAAAGAGTTTAATTTGCTACTTGTGCTGTATTTGTACAATGTCATAAGGGAACAAAAATGTTTTAAGCTTCAAGAGTTTTCATGAAAAAAATATTTACCTTTTTCACCCTATGAACTATTAGTACCGATTTAAGACACTGAATTTTTTACGTTACTGCTGTTAGATATGAGCACAGAACGGTGTGGTATTTCCACGTGAATAAATGTATTGGAAATGTTACCACTGATGTATGTGTCGGTTTCACCTGCTCGTGGCAGATGGTGCGGTGCCAAGCGGTGCCGAGCGCCCCCAGGGATATCCGCGCTGCCCCCAGGGATATCCGCGCTGCCCCCAGGGATATCCGCGCTGCCCAGGCTTACCCTCACTGACATGAACCAAATCGTCAATTAGTTCGTACATTTTAAGGGCGGCAGGGTGGCGCTTGGGTAACACTCACGCCTCAGCCAAGAAGTTCCCGAGTTCAATTCCCACTCGGGTGCCTCCTGTGTGGGGTTTGAATGTCTCCCCCTGTCCTGCGTGGGTCTCCTCTGGGTTCTCCGATTTCCTCCCATAGACAAAAAAACACTCCACAATGTAAGAGGTATTTCTTGATTTGAAGCTTTAGTGACTGCGCCTCCCCCTTTTCTTACCCATATCACCTCGTGACACGGCAGCTCTCTCTCTCTCCCCCCTAGCTCCTCCCCCGTTTCTTAACCTCTTGCCACGGCAGCTCTCTCTCTCCCCCCTAGCTCCTCCCCCTTTTCTTACTAATATAACCTCTTGCTACGGCAGCTCTCTCCCTCCCCCCCTTGCTCCTCCCCCTTTTCTTACCTATATAACCTCTTGCCACGGCAGCTCTCTCGCCTACTTCAGCAATGTTTCTTGCTGTGGTTGTTCCACCTGATGAAGATCGCTTGTGTTGTGATCGAAACGTCGCGATTCGTTTTATTTTATTTCTACCTACGTGACTTTACCGAAAGAACCAAAGAGTATGTAATAGGTATTGTTGACCAAATTACTAATTTTGAATTAACCACCGAAAGAGCGACAGATGGCAGCGGTAAACTGATGACTGTACTGATGAGTCGTAATGAAGACGAAACCGGGCTACGGTTCTGGCTTTGTCTCACTGTTGCGGTCGGTTGGCCACATTTTCTCAACTTGTGAACGGCAGTTCCCGAAACAAAATGAACACTATGCAGTTTTTCTGAATTGGTGGTTTTCCCGTTCGTGCACAAGACGAAAGAGTGGGTACTCCAACCTCTTCCCAGACGTCTGCTCAACGTTGAATAGATCAAAATAACCTTTACACATCGGCTCTAGAGCCTCCTCTAGTGGACCGGCTCATCCGCCAGCAACTTTGAGGTGCAGGAAAACGTAAGATCCCAATGTTGTTGCTGCTCACCCCGAGCTATGTGGTCGTGAATTGTCTTTGTGCTGTTCGCCTAACACATTCCTGCGGAGGGAGCTGGTAGGAACGTTGGGTTGCTCGGTCAATGGCCAGGGTCAACGGAGGCACGTGGTGTATTCCGCAAATATGCCCGACTGTGAGGGCGGGCACAAGCCGGCGTGAGTAGGTTAAACGTTGAGTTTTATAAGGGTACCACGGGGTGACCAGCCCCTCCCACTCCCCACCCAGCCCCTCCCCACCCTCCCCTCTCCACCCAACCCCTCTCCACCCTCCACTCTCCACCCAGCCCCACCCCTCCCATTTTTAGATGCACGACGGACGGACACAATAATCCCCTGTGGGCTGCTGGTGTAACCAGGAGGTTCCTACCAGTATGAACTTTCTCCACTCTGACACTGGGCCCTAAAGAAGGCTGATGTCTCTGGTGAAGACCAATCGGTTTCAAAGACAATGTTTATATAATTACCAGAGCATGTCTGTTTGCATGCTCCACCACAAGTACTGTGTGTGGTTAATGCGGACATGATTCCTTGCAAAATTTTTCTATTGTGTTTGAACATCTTAACAACTGTTCTATTGCCAGAAAGGATAACACCTATTCGTATTTTTTCGTAATCGAGAAGAATGCCCTTCCCCTGCTGCAAATAAAAGATTTGATTTCGAGAAGATGTCTTCTGGTTACAGCGGAACACCCCCCCCCCCCACCGCCCCTCCTCTGTGTAGACTTTCTCATCTAAACTCAACAACTTCTAACTTGTATATTACCAGATAAACCCCACTGAAGTGAGGGAATGTTGTAGCGGCCATACGATCGAAACGCATGTTTCTGATGAGTAGGACAACTGGCACTTTGGACACACGGTGTAGGATGGACAACAGGGAATTTTAAAGTGTGTTGTTCGAAAAGACGGAATGAACCGGAGAGACCTAACAAAGAATGGCTTGACATGAAGCTATCGTGACTGCAGGAATCCATACTCTTTGTTTCTTTCCGGTAAAGTTACGTGGGTGGAAAAGAAAATAAATCACGACGTTTCGGGCGCTACACACAAGCATCCATCGTCAGGTGGGAAAGCATGGTCTGCTACTGAGGCAGACTGTTTTAAAAGGTTAAAAGGTCTAAAACATCATTAAAACATCATCCTTTGCCAGTACCAAAATGTAATAATAGGGTTTTTCCCCTTTTTTCTGGCAACAAAACGGAAACCTTTTTACAAGGATCCATGTTACTGCATTAACCACAATACCTGCAGTCAAAATGCAAACAAAAAACATACTATGATAATGATGCATTGTCCTTGAAACTGATTGGTCCACACCAAGGGACGGCTTTCTTTTGAGCCTCGACCCAATTGGTGCTCGACCAGATGACGCCTTTTGGCGTCGTCCTTGGTGTGGACCAATCAGTTTTAAGGACAATGCATCATATTATCATAGTATGTTTTTTGTTTGCATTTTGACTGCAGGTATTGTGGTTAATGCAGTAACATGAATCCTTGTAAAAAGGTTTCAGTTTTGTTGCCAGAAGAAAAAGGGGAAAAACCCTATTATGAGATCTAAAACAGTCTTGCCTCAGCAGCAGACCATGATTCCCGCTTGTGTGTGCGCGCCCGAAACGTCGCGATTTATTTTATTTTCTACCTACGTGACTTTACCGGAAGAAACAAAGAGAATGGCTTGACAATGGGAGAATGGTGCCTGAAAGATGTTGGCGCACTATTGGAGCAAAGCGGAAACGTGACAATGTGCAGTGGACAGCCTGCGGGGCTCGCTGACCCCCACGGGGCTGGCTGACCCCCACGGGTCGTGATGATGGAATTTCGAAATGTGGTGGTAGGAGAGGCAGGGGCCAGAGAAACCCGCATTAATATATCACGGCGAGAGAACAAGCCAACTCCAAATATCTCAAACGTGTCAACATCTTATTCGTGCCATACCCTTATTACAGACCAATTAAGACCTTATTTGTCACCCTGCGCCCTTATAAATCTCAACGTTCATCCTACGAAGTCCCATCACAAGGGAGAAACACAAACAAATAAGACACAAATGTGCCTGTATTGAAACGGCTTAACGCCGTTCGTGGACCTGAAAACTCACTTTCCCTGTACAAGAATACTGGCTGAACCGTGCCGGTTGAAAGCTTTGCAATATAACAGCAGGCGGCGTAGGGTGAGCGGGGTTCGGTGTCTTGAACTTCACGAAACCTCTTTATATGCAGGACGAGGGCGGTAACATCGCACAGCCACGGCGTGGCGAAGCCGCGGCCGCCATCTTACCTCGGGGTTACTGTTGAGCCGCGACGACGGACCCCGCGTCGCTGCTCGATGACGTCACCCCCACCGCCCCGGGGCTACACGGAAGCGGACGGGGAATTACACCCCCCACCCCCCTGACCAAGATGGCCGCCAAAGTAAGATGGAGAGGGAGGGGGTCATATTCTTAGCTCTTTCGGTAAAGTCACGTTGAAGGGAAACAATAAAATAATAAAATATATATAAAACCCAAAAAAATTCTCACGACGTTTCGACCATAACACAAACGGTCGTCATCACACCTGATGATGACGACCGTTTGTGTTATGGTCGAAACGCCGTGAGAATTTTTATTGGTTTTATAATACATTTTATTATTTTATTGTTTCCCTTCAACGTGACTTTACCGAAAGAGCTAAGAATATGAATTACTGCAGTCACGAAAGCTTTAAATCAAAATTTAGGGAGGGGGTCGTTTAGGGTCACGCTCCCCGCCGTTGCCTCAGCAACGACGGCGTCGAGGCGGAGTCTGCGCCGGTGTCGCTCCTCGGTCGTTTCCGTCGCCACGGGCGAGGCGGAGGGGGGAGGCTGCCGGGACTTCACCTGGGGTCGAACCCCACCGGCGATTGAAGTGCTCGCGGGTACGACTGATGCACGGAGGAGCCAGCACCACACTCATCCACCCCAATCATTCACCCACCACTCACCCAACTCACTCACCCCTCACTCACCCACCACTCACTCACTCTCTCACCCCTCACTCACCCACCCACCCCTCACTCACTCACCCAACCCTCACTCACCCACCCACCCCTCACTCACCCACCACTCACTCACTCTCTCACCCCTCACTCACTCACCCACCACTCACTCACTCACCCAACCCTCACCCACCCACCACTCACTCACTCACTCACCCCTCACTCACCCACCCCTCACTCACCCACCACTCACTCACCCCTCACTCACTCACCCACCCCTCACTCACTCACCCCTCACTCACCCACCTCTCACTCACCCCTCACTCACCCACCACTCACCCACCCCTCACTCACTCACCCACCACTCACTCACCCACCACCCACTCACCGCTGACTCACTCACCCACCCCTCACTCACTTATCCACCCCTCACTCACTCACCCACCCCTCACTCACCCACCACTCACTCACTCACCCACCACTCACTCACCCACCACTCACTCACCCCTCACTCACTCACCCCTCACTCACCCACCCCTCACTCATCCACCCAACTCACTCACCCACCACTCACTCACCCACCACTCACCCACCCACCACACACTCACCCACCCCTCACTCACCGACCCATCGCTAACTCATCCACCCCACTCACTCACCCATCACTCACTCAGTCCACTTACTCACCCACCCCTCACTCACCCACCCACCTCTCACTCACTCACCTCACTCACTCACCCACCCCTCGCTAACTCATCCACCCCACTCACTCACCCACCCCACTCACCCACCCACCCCACTCACCCACCCACCGCTCACTCACCCACCCCACTCACTCACTCACTCACCCCTCACTCACTCACCCACCCCTCACTCACTCACCCACCCCTCACTCACTCACCCCTCACTCACTCACCCACCCCTCACTCCTCCACCCCACTCACTCACCCATCACTCACTCAGTCCACTTACTCACCCACCCCTCACTCACCCACCCACCTCTCACTCACTCACCTCACTCACTCACCCACCCCTCGCTAACTCATCCACCCCACTCACTCATCCACCCCACTCACTCACCCACACACTCACCCACCCCACTCACCCACCCACCGCTCACTCACCCACCCCACTCACTCACTCACCCCTCACTCACCCCTCACTCACCGCTCACTCACCCACCACTCACTCACCCACCCACCTCTCACTCACTCACTCACCCCACTCACTCACCCACCTCTCGCTAACTCATCCACCCCACTCACCCACCCCACTCACTCACCCACCCCTCACTCACCCACCCCTCACTCACTCACTCACCCACCCCTCACTCACCCACCCCTCACTCACTCACCCACCACTCACTCACTCACCCCTCACTCACTCACCCCTCACTCACTCACTCACCCCTCACTCACCCACCCCTCACTCACTCACCCACCCAACTCACTCACCCACCACTCACTCACCCACCCAACTCACTCACTCACCCACCCCTCACTCACTCACCCCTCACTCACTCACTCATCACTCACTCACTCACCCCTAACTCACTCACCCACCCAACTCACTCACCCACCCCTCACTCACCCACCACTCACCCACCCACCCACCACACACTCACCCACCCCTCACTCACTCACCCACCCCTCACTAACTCACCCATCACTCACTCACCCACCCAACTCACTCACTCACCCACCCCTCACTCACTCACCCACCACTCACTCACCCACCCAACTCACTCACCCACCACTCACTCACCCACCCAACTCACTCACTCACTCACCCACCCCTCACTCACTCACCCCTCACTCACTCACCCACCACTCACTCACCCACCACTCACTCACCCATCACTCACTCATTCACTCACCCCTCACTCACTCACCCACCCAACTCACTCACCCACCCCTCACTCACCCACCACTCACCCACCCACCACACACTCACCCACCCCTCACTCACTCAACCCACCCCTCACTAACTCACCCATCACTCACTCACCCACCCACCTCTCACTCACTCACTCACCCCACTCACTCACCCACCCCTCGCTAACTCATCCACCCCACTCACCCACCCCACTCACCCACCCCACTCACCCACCCACCGCTCACTCACCCACCCCACTCACTCACTCACCCCTCACTCACCCACCCCTCACTCACTCACCCACCCCTCACTCACTCACCCACCCACCTCTCACTCACTCACCCCTCACTCACCCACCCCTCACTCACCCACCACTCACTCACCCACCCACCTCTCACTCACTCACCCCACTCACTCACCCACCCCTCGCTAACTCATCCACCCCACTCACTCACCCACCCCTCACTCACTCACCCACCCCTCACTCACTCACCCCTCACTCACCCCTCACTCACTCACCCACCCCTCACTCACCCCTCACTCACCCACCACTCACTCACCCACCCACCTCTCACTCACTCACTCACCCCACTCACTCACCCACCCCTCGCTAACTCATCCACCCCACTCACTCACTCACCCACCCCACTCACCTACCCACCCCTCACTCACCCACCCCTCACTCACTCACCCACCCCTCACTCACTCACCCCTCACTCACTCACCCACCCCTCACTCACTCACCCACCCCTCACTCACTCACCCACCCCACTCACCCCTCACTCACCCACCCCTCACTCACCAACCCCTCACTCACCCACCCCTCACTCACTCACCCACCACTCACTCACCCACCCCACTCAATCACCCACCCCTCACTCACTCACCCACCCCACTCACTCACCCACCCACACCCCTCACTGAATACGCGCGGGGCCATCTTGCTCAGGGTTTGGCACGATCATTAAGAGATAAAGAATATTGAAATAATATTTACCACGATATTAACCGCGACGAGAGAGAGAGACGCGTCGCAAAAGTGGCGGCATAAGAGATGCAGGCAGACACAACGAGTACCACTTTACTCTTTGCTTCTTTCGGTGAAGTCACCTAGGTATAAAATAAAATAAATCACGACGTTTTGGGCGCAACACAAGCGTCCGTCATCAGGTGGGAAAGCCTTGGTCTGCTGCTGAGGCAGACTGTTTTAAAAGGTTTGAAATGGGTCATAAAGAAGTGGCCGGGGCTGGTGATGTTAATGTGAGAAATTAGCATGTCACTGTAACAAAAGAAGGAAAGCGCCCTCCTAGCACCACTTTGTATGGAATTCGACATTGGCTATCCTTTGGAAACGCTCGCCATATGAATGTGTAATTTCCACCTGGTTCAGGGCTATAAACGGGAGATTACCATTACCACGATGCCCATTTGAGCAATCGCTTTGACATTTGAACTAATGTATTAATACTGATATAATTAAACTGCTATCCACGATAATGATTGGTTCGATGGATGCCGGTTGCATGTTACCTGTCTTTACATATTACTATGTTTTCAACTGGTACTGTCAATGTCTAAGATCTCATCCGATCTCGAAAGCTAAGCAAATTTTAGTGTGGTAATGCTTTCAACCGTACATAACAGGTTTTCACAGGCCCTCGCAGAAAATAAAATCTTACGATGTTGGCATTTCGCTGGGCATCTGTGGACAAAGAGCTTTATAGCTCATCGGATTATCTTGCGGTATAAATAAATATTCAGATTCTGAGCTCCAGAACGTCGACGCAGGAAATTAATTCCAAATGCATAAATTATAATGTGGCAGACGAGTGTGGTGAAGAACATGGATGAAGCAAAATCAATGAGACCCCTTTGACCAGGAGAGGTAGACCGAGAGCAGCTATCTTGAGCTGTTACTGCTAAACTCTTGGGTTCGAATCCAGTAAATTGCTTGGGATTAAACATCTAACTGTTTAACACGTAGGTTTTTTTCACACCTGATGACGACTGTTTGTGTTATGGTCGAAACGTCGTGAGAATTTTTATTGTTATATATATTTTATTATTTTATTGTTTCCCTTCAACGTGACTTTACCGAAAGAGCTAAGAATATGAATTACTGCAGTCACGAAAGCTTTAAATCAAAATTTAGTCAGGGTTGTCAAGTAAACAGAACGTGGCCAATTCGTCACTAGTACAGCACACCAGTGTGTTGGAGAGCCAAGCCACAACATTTACAATCTGAGTATGACGTTTCGCCAGTAATTACAACTAGCTTCATCAGGTGACAGCCAGATTTGTGGAGAAGTCTTCACTGTTTCCTTCCTTATATAGAGGCGTAGATGTGGTGACCACGCAGCTGCGCTCTTGCACAATGAATGATGGGGGGGGATTGCTGAGGCAACGTACATGATGCATGTGCATTATGCGAGCCCTTTGATCTTGCCCTTCCTGTCTATTGTGTTTATTTAAATAGCCCTACCAACGGTAATCCCTATTGAAGTACGCTGCTGTTTATAGGCATGCATTTAAATAATGTATTTGATTATTCGCTTCAACACAGCACTAAGACGGTAGCTATCCGAACGTTTAAAGTTATTTTTATTTTTGATTTAAAGCTTTCGTGACTGCAGTAAAAAACAACAATATTGTTTTATATATATTTTGTTATTTTGTTGTTTCTCTTCAACGTGACTTTACCGAAAAAACTAAGAATATGAATTATTTTTATTTCTTTCAATTTCCATAGATTCTCTAATTAGTCTTGGCCAGAAGTAGCTAGTTTTGCACAAAACTTCAACATCAAAATCAATTGAGTGTCCTTGTTGGCACGTGTGTTCTGGTACTGCTGACAAGGACGCTCAACTAAGTGCCTGAGAGCTAATTGTCTCAGCCCCACCGTCAAGGACTGCGCCAAAAAAATCCCGTAGCATTCTCTTGAGTTTTGGGGTTTCAGGTCGCTCTGTGATACCTTAAGGGGCCGTTCGCTAACACAAAGAGTTGTACTGCTGTGAGAGATCCCGGTGGATACTTCATCACATGACATGACGCCGAGAGCACATTTGTGACGATATTGTGTAACTTGCCACACACAAAAGATCATTATTTTTACCAGGCACACGTGACTGCATTGACTGGAGTGTCCTGCTCCCATTGCCAAGGCTTGGCTGCCCGACTATGGTGGGGAAGATCAAAAAGAGCGGTGCAAATGCGAGGCGAGGAAAAGGAGGTAAGGCAGCAGGAGCGGCGGACGCTGGCGTCGTGCTGAAGAGATTCCTGCGCACGTACGACAAGCACTGCGCCGCCACGGAGAGCACGCCCAGCGCGCCACTGCGCCTCGTCCTGAAGGCGCACGCTGACGCGGGTACGCTCGTCAACAAGGTGAGTGGCCAGTGGCCTCGATGTGAACGTGAACGCGGTCTCGTGCGTGCTGCCCGGCAGTCTCACTGACCGCCGGCGATGTGTCAGTTTGTTGTAGCACAAGCAGACGGGAGTATCGGGCCCTCAGTCCTGCTCCAGCCTTTGCTTTTGACCATCCGAGATGAGCGCTACATGCAAGGGAAGGAACTCTGCGTCTTGGACGTTCCGCTCACCAACCAGGACATCGCTGAACTGGTATCGTTACAAAGTGCGCTTGTACCACTGCATTGTTTCACATTTGCGTGGGCGTTATATTGGAAGTGGATTTAGAATGATGTCCTATTATTCTTTTCTTTTTTTAAACAATCTGGATTTTACTTAAGCCATTAATTTCAGCCTAGTCTTTCCGGAACTGCAACCCAAAAAATATTTCCGCACCTGGCACACCACATCCATCATACCTCTCACTATAGTCTCGGTTACAAATCAGATACCTACTGCAGTCTACCTGTGACCCAGAACATATTAATACTCTTCAGGTCTTTCGGTAAAGTATTCAGTGATACGTATTCAGTGATACATTAGGCCCCACGTACACATGTGCAGCCTCTGTGTGCGTGTGAACTTTTCCTATCAGTCCTTGCTCCTGGAGATGCGGGGCAAGACGTGGTACCCGTTTGCACGTCTCGTGCTGTCCGACTGCGCGCTGGACGTGTGGTCGATGGGGCGGCTAGCTCGGGCCCTCAGGACCAGCATTCTAACTCACCTGCATCTCGACTACAACAGGTACGCTGTGTGTTCTCCACTCTTCCGTTGTCCGCAGGCACACGCCAAACATGAGATTCATACCAGCCTTCTTCTTCGTCCCGGCTTGTTTCCCACTCATATAGACTCTGCTTTTATAGTCCTCATTCTCCACTCATTCCTGTGCTGGGCCATCATCTCCACATCTATTACACAGTCCTTCATATCCTGGCTCACCACTTAAAACCACCTATTTCTAGGCCTGCCCTGGTGCTTCCATGTTCATCACCTCTCTTCCAAAGTGGTTTTCCTCTCTTATTATTTGGGTCTTTCGGTAAAGTCACGTAGATAGGTTCAAAGAAAAAAAGAAAAAACTACGACGTTTCGATTGCAACACAAGCGTTCGTCATCAGGAAGAGGGGGTTAGCTTCTAAAGGCAAACTGTTTATAAAGGTTTGAAATTCGGCGTAGCCCAAATGTTAGCAGCCAATGTTAATGTAAGTGGTGGGCAGCGACCGCGACGGTGGTGAGTTTTCCACCAATCAAAGGGCTGTCAAGTAAAAATTAGCATGTTAATGTAAAATCGTTGAGCGGCCTCCACGGCCAGCGCCCTGAGGTGGCTGTGTTAATGTGAGAGATTAGCATGTTAATGGAAGACCGCAGAGCAGCAACCTCGAGCTCGCAAATCACTTCTCTAATTTGTCTATGTCTTTGTAAATGCATACCAGACTGTCAAACCAAACTCACTGCATGTTCTCTCGCTGCCCTGCTCACTGCCCGTTCCCCTTGTGTCGTCGCCGTAGGATTGGAGACACCGGTGCCCTTGCACTGGTCCAGGGCTTAGCCGGAAATGCCCAGATGCTGTCCCTGAGCCTGTGCTACTGTGGGCTGGGCCCGCCGAGCGGCGCACCCCTGGCCTCCCTCGTCACCAGCACCGCCATCGTGTGAGTGGGTGTAGGGCCATCGCGTACATCTGTCGACGATGAGATGGCTCGCTCCAGCGTTGTCCTCCAGACAGTCTCGTCCCTTCACCTGATGAAGGCCGCTTGTGTTGTGGCCGAAACGTCGTGAGAATTTTATCGTGTTATTTTATTTTCTCAATTTATTATTTTATTCTCATTCTACGTGACTTTACCGAAAGAACCAAAGAAGATGGCAGGGTGTGGCTGACGAGGCTAGGTGGCGGTCCAACGCACAGCCTGGCAATGTATGTATGTTGAACTTCTTTCGCATCGTACGTAACCAGCCGTGCTAATCGGAGGTTCTGCTGCAAGGCTGCCACTGTGTCACGGACCTGCAGGTATCACGTACTATTCGTGTATGTGACGAGGCCGTCATGATTTTCACTGCACTCGGCCAGCAGAGGGAAGCACTGCACAGGCAGTGGCCTAGAAGATGGCCGAAGTCATAACACTAAAATCCTAGCTTGCAAAAATATCTTCATTTCTCAACCATGTGTAGGGTGAAGTCGCTGTGTTACTCAGCAAGGGAAGTCAACAGTGGGTTTCCTGTTGGTCGACTTGTCCCCGTCATGGGAATGTGCAATTTCCACCACTGGCTGAGGACTGCAAATGTGCTGAGCTACTCCTCTGTGCTCATTTGAACAGGAAATCTCTTTGACTTATTGACTTGATTGTAAGGGCTGGTGATAATGCAATGTTGGCTCGTTCGTCTCAGCGAGGTGTATCTGGATGGCAATGACCTGCGATGCGAAGGGGCGACGGAGCTTGTCCGGCCACTCGTGGAGCACGCGGAGCGTGTAGCTGCCACTCGTCCGCGCCTGGATGTCGGGGATGGTGAAGACCTGGCCAAGCAGCTGCTTGATGGTGAGAAACCCTCACCGCTAAGCAAGGATCACACATGATGACTGCAATTCTGTTAGGGGAGCATTTGTAGGTGAGCCTGATATCGACGTTACGTGTTAGATTTTGGATGTGGCGACTCGGATAAAGAAACGCCAAAGTTATTCACAGTGACAGAACACTTTTTGCGAAATTTTTATTGGATAAATAAATGCATAAATATGAATGGATAGATCGTGGCTGCTGATCATACATGTTTTGGTGGCATTTGTCATTTACAAGCCCTTGATTGTAATAGGAGTGCAGGCAGTGCCAATGCTAGATTACACTGTAACTGGCCAAGCCCAGCACTTCCTCAGCAACAAGTTAACCGCCCAGTCATTGCTTCACTGGGCCTGCCCCTTGGGAAGCAGGGTGGCAAAGTCATAACACTTCGTAAAAAAGTTCTAGGTTCGATTCCTGACTGGTGCCTATTTGTGTGGCCTCTGTATGTTCTCCCCCTGTTCTGCATGGATTTCCTCCGGGTTCTCCGTGTTCACGCGGAAGTAAAAAATAAACAAAGTCACTGGCGTTAGATAACCATCCCAATGCAAGGCCCTCCGGAAAAAAAAAGTCTTCAGGCTCAGTGAGGCTATCCTGAGTAAAAAAGTTATAATTATGATTACTCATAATAGAGGTTTTTTTTGTTAGATTGCATAAATATAAATGTGTCGTTAAACCAGGCATCACCCAACACAGCCAGTTAGTAGGATTTGTCACGTCAACAAAACATTCCAATTCGTGACTATTACAGCACATCGGTGTGTTGGAGAGTAAAATCCTCAACATTTACAGTTCGAGTACGACGTTTCGCCGGTAATTGCAACTAGCATCATCAGGCGACAACCAGATTTGTGGAGAAATCTTTCTGTTTCGTTCTTAACGAAACAGTAGGATTTACTCGATCTAACCCAAAAGACCTCTATTATGGATAATATTGGTCGTGAAAGCCTATGTGTTAAATTGACTAACCTATATGGGGAGGATACTTGTCTTCAAATTATGATAACTATCTGTTGCATTCCCTAGCACCGGACAAATCGGGCGTGCGGTCAGCTGTGTCGCTACTGGACGAGGGTGAGCAGCCGGCGCAGGTCCCTGTCGACCCCAGCGGCAGCTCCATCGCGAAGCGGAAGAAGTCTAGGAGAGGTAGCGTGATGCCCCCATCTCCGACAACACAAGAACCTCCAAAATGCGTGGCATTTAGACACCGTGTAAATAGATGCTATATCAATTTGAATTGTAGTGTGTGGAGCCAAAGCAGTGTTCACAGTGTGTGTATTCATACCGCACCATGAAAAACACAGGGGGGGTCGGGTTACCAGCTAAAAAAAGAGCCGATGTTGAAATCATGCTGATGCTGTAGGAACTTTGATTAAAACAATGTGTGGGTTAACTATTACGCATGCGTAGCGAAGTGTTGTTTCATTGGTTACTAAAGTTTTTTTACGCACGCAATACTTGCGACGAATGGTGTGTGTAGGAATCGGTCATGTTTTTTTTAATTTGTATACAAGGTGTGTAATAGGGTCACATGACCCCTCCGGTCACTAGAGGCTCTCCACCACGATTGGCAATTGAACTGCAAAGGGGGCAAATAATTGGATTCCTGGTTACGAGTATGATTTTAATTTACAGGCCTCTGAGCAATTCACCCAGAATGCATCCTACAGCATGAGATCTTAGAAGATAAGCAGATTTGAGCTTGGCTAGTGTTTGGATGGGTTGTTTATAGGCCGCCGTGGGACTCTGTGATGGACAGCAGAGGGCAGTGCAGAAAAATCCATTGTTCTTCTTTGGTTCTTTTGGTAAAGTCACGTAGAATGAGAATAAAATAATAAATTGATAAAATAAAATAACACAATAAAATTCTCACGACGTTTCGGCCACAACACAAGCGGCCGAAACGTCGTGAGAATATTATTGTGTTATTTTATTTTATCAATTTATTATTTTATTCTCATTCTACGTGACTTTACCGAAAGAACCAAAGGAGATGAATCCTTGCAGTCACGAAAGCGTTAAATCGAAAAATCCATTGTTGTGTTCCACTGCTGTGCTTCCACATCTATGCTATCCACCTTCACCAACGCACACTGCCTGGCATGGCGAAGTACGGTGAAATAAACCCCACGACCCGCACTCCGTTGGGAGGCCCTCGTCCACCACCGCCGGATTGACATTGGTGTGTTGTACGTGTCCATGCACACGATAGTGGCCGCGTGCCGCACGCGTGTTAAGTGAAGTCTGTGACGGTGACGTCCGTGTGAACGTGCAGGGGCTCGGAGGAAGAAGAAGGGCCCTGAGAAGGCTGAGGTGGGGCCCTGGCTGCGCGAGCTGCACCTGTCAGACAACGGGATTGACGGGCTGGGCGCAGGCAGACAGACGGCACCGCTCGACTTCTCGATGTTGCTCGCCAGGTGAGGAGGCCACGGCCAACGGCTGCGGCACAGCTATCGAGCGTGCACGCGTGGCGGGCGGCAACTGCAGCGGGGCCCGCGGCTCACAGAGGCCCCGGCGCCAGACTACGAAGAGGAAGGGAATTTGACAGGTGGCCCACGTTTCATGAATTGTACCAAGACCCATGCCAAATACGCGACGTCACCGCCATCACCCGCAAAACCATGCTCAATCTGCCTTGGGCACAGCAGGTACTGGGCATGGAATGATTAATCGATTATAAACGATTTCATGCTGATGCATCGTGCATGTGAGAATGGATTGTTTGATTATTTTTAGTTGTACGTGATTGGTTTCAGTTTGAGTTTATTTATTTATTTTGGTATAGCCCTGTGAGCCATTCGGCTCTTGAATCAGGTGCAACCACAACAAACAAAAAACACGAACAAGAAAAACATCTTAAAGTGACTATGTGACTGTGCAAACAGAAAATCCATGAAAAAAACAGCAAAATATTCCTGAAAAAAGCACCGTGAGTGAGTGAGGGGTGGGTGAGTGAGGGGTGGGTGGGTGAGTGAGGGGTGGGTGAGTAAGTGGACTGAGTGAGTGATGGGTGAGTTAGTGAGGGGTGGGTGAGTGAGGGGTGGGTGGGTGAGTGGGATGGATGAGTTAGCGAGGGGTGCGTGAGTGAGTGAGTGGTGGGTGGGTGAGTAAGTGGTGGGTGAGTGGTTGGTGGGTTAGGGGTGGGTGGGTGAGTGAGTGAGTGAGTGGTGGGTGAGTGAGTGATGGGTTCATAGTTTCATAGTTTAGTTTCATTTATTTGGTATAGCCCTGTGAGCCATTCGGCTCTTGAATCGGGTGCAACCGCAACAAACAAAAACATGAACAAGAAAACATCTTAAAGTGACTATGTGACTGTGCAAACAGAAAATCCAGGAAAAAACATTAAAATATTCCTGAAATAGCACCGTACACCAACGCTGTGTGCAAAAATCCCAGTGGGATGCAAGTCAAACAACAACAACCACAAGACAACTTAGATTAAGGCCACCAGTCTAACTCCGTACTACAATAAAAACAAACATGTCCAAACCAAAAAACTTTTCGAAATCACCAAAAAATAAAGCCATAATTGCACTGTAACAGTGATCACAGGGACCGTGACCGAATTTTTATAATGCTCCATAAACCACTATTAAAATATAATTGATTCTGGAATTGAATCGTGACCCTGAGTAATAACAAGCCATCCGATTGCGGGGAGGTGAATCTTTACATACCGAGTGGCTGTACAAGGCCGCGGAGAATATTTTTTGTTTTAATTTATCCAAGATAACAACAATGAGTCTCAAGACCCTTCTCCAGAAGGTTCCTGCATTGGGAAGTTTGTCCCAATCCTTTTGGAGGCGTATTCTGCATACCGGAATCCATGTCACAGCCTGTGCCTGAAAGAGTTCAGGACTGCTGTAGTAAAGCAGGCAGTGGCTTTGCGAGTGATGGCAATGTATGGGTTCCCTGTGTCTCACAACACGATCGCTTACCTGCTCCAGCAGCAATCAGGGGGGTGCTATTGCAGTGGTCCACTTTGCCTGGTGTCAAGCGTTGGCCCCTGAGGCACTACCTGTGTCAACTCGGCAGGTTGATCCGCCTGTCAGACGCCCTGCAGGAGCTTGACCTGGACGACAACGACGTGGGGGAGCTCGGAGGACGGCAGATCCTGGAGGCGCTAAAGCAGCGGAAGGAAGGTGCAGAGCGACAACATGCGGGGCCGTGTGTAGCCGTCATTGTTAATAGCGTTACGAAAGATGTTTTTTCAGGAGGGTCCTGCCGCGTATTCGCAGGAGGGAGGCGATATTGTTGTTATGCGTGATTCCAACTGAGTACTTTGTAGGTAAGTTTTCACACTGTGGGTTAATTAGCTATGGGAAGAAACCGGAGAGCCTGGAGGAAATCCATGCAGAACAGGGGGAAAACATAGAAACACCACACATAAATGGGCCTTAGTCGGTAATCGAACCCAGGCCCTTGCTGTGTTGCACGAGTGTCACCACTGTGCCACCCTTATGGCCGGTGGAAGAGTTTTTCCTACAGTCCTGAATGCATTGTGTGATTTGACCACTTTTGACCTCATCAGGTTTAGCCAATGAATGTAAACTACATCCCATATGAGTGATATGAAGCCTTCTGAGGCTTTGCCTTCCACCACCCGGTCACTTTGGCCACGTAAAATGTACCCATTTCGTGTAAACGGGGTGGCCACTTGTGAGGTTGTACATAGTTCATCAATAGCGTAGGTCCCTGGCTCCTTCTGGTGGGAATGAGCCCTGACTGGACTGAAAGACAAGTGAGGTTTCCTCTGTGTGAGGCTTGTTAAATGCAGATGTTGATCTCACACGGCTACCTAGTTGCATGTTCCCTTTCTCTTTTCATTATTACTACTACGCTTGTTTACCAGGAAAGCCTCACTGCATCTCATGACTCTCTTTGAGGAGGCTTCTGCCAAGTTGTTCAGAGTAGGGGGGGGGGTGATGATCACCACGTTTGTTTTCAAGGAGTAACTTTGTCCCCGCAGCAAAGCGGCTGCCCATCAAAATGAGGGTGACCGCACGGATGAGCCCAGACACATTCAGCGCCATCCTCAAGTACAGTGGGAAGGTGAAGAAAGCCAGGAGAGGCAAGAAGAAGGTGAGCTGCGACCAATCGTTCCGTTGACCCTCAACCAGCGGTGGGGAACATGTGACCCACAGGCCAGATGCGACCCACAACTTAATTTCCCACGGCACACAGCCATGTGAGGCCGACCACTTTTGAAAGAGCCTGCAAGTGATGTTTCTCCGTCGCTGCAAGCTATCTTGGCCGCACTAGTAGGGTACTCGAGAAGGAATATTTTTAACCTGGCAACAACACTCTGATTATAATTGTCGTACTCTCAGTCACTCTGTCACTGCAAGGGCCTCTTTATACTCGGTCGACGCTCGCGTTATTTTTGGCATTATTGGACAACGCTGATCTGTAGCAGTATGGAAAGGTTCCTCACCCCTGACTTAAACCCTAACCCCGACCCCGTTTAAGCTTTCTATATATGCATACAACACGCCTAAAAGCCCAAGCACATTAAGTTGTGAAGTTATGATTTAAATGTGATTAAAAGTCTCATGTCAATAACCGTGAAATTAACTTTAGTCATTAACTTCACTTACACTGTCTTTTCAGAAAAAGAAGTGAACGGCGTTTCTACCGTCGCAGAAACCTCCACAGGAAGTGCTGCTGCACATGTTTGTGGTGGTCACGCTCACAGTAGGTTTGACTGGTCGGTGTCCCTTTTTAGAGTTGTACATTTCTATTTTTATACACGTGTAAGAATATTGCAGTCTGAAAATGTGAATCCAAGCACTTTTACCAGTCCTAAACTTCTTCATGTACCTGCACGGCCTCTGTAGAGGAGCCAACATCCGGTGTTTCAATGGTGTCAAACAGTGCACCACCCTAATTACGCCACGGAATGCTGGCGGCGATAAAATAACTCTGACTGTGTCTGTAGCCATGTGACTGCGTAACTCAAGACTGTCTTTAAAAATATCAGTTCTCGATGTGCCTTCCAAGTAACACCAATGAGTATTGGTGTTACGCACTGAAAAATCTGCGGTTGTTGTGAACGGGACACACATAGTATTCCCGAGTATATGTTTCAGGCTCTACCACAATTATGGTGATGTTTACATGTTTTTTTATAGCTTGCAGGGGAAATAAAAATGGGGTTATTTTTTTATAATCGCCGGTTAAGAGTGCACAGATTGCAGTGTAGCTTGTGGACTTTAATAAAAAGCAATAAAATGTAGTTGAAATGAAGGGTGAAGGATTTACACAGCACAAAGTTCAGCTTGTCTTATAGCCTAGTGAATATAATTGTTTTTTCATATTTACAAACATATCGCACATATCAACACAATGCATTGATGGTGAATCGCAATTGTGTACTGTAGGGATGTGTTTAATATTAATCTGAAAAATCTAAATGTCAGCCTGCAAGCCAGGTCTGAGCACCTTGGTGTCATTTGGGCTGGAAATATAAATGAATTGCTGGCGGAACTCACAAATTAATCATATCCCATCTCTACATCTGAACTGTACCCCCTCTCTACATCTGAACCAGACCCCCTCTCTACATCTGAACCAGACCCCCTCTCTACAACTGAACCAGACCCCCTCTCTACAACTGAACCAGACCCCCTCTCTACATCTGAACCAGACCCCCTCTCTACAACTGAACCAGACCCCCTCTCTACAACTGAACCAGACCCCCTCTCTACATCTGAACCAGACCCCCTCTCTACAACTGAACCAGACCCCCTCTCTACATCTGAACCAGACCCCCTCTCTACATCTGAACCAGACCCCCCCCTCTCTGCATCCCCAACTGAGCCTGATCGAAAGGGAGGTGCTGGGTGGATGTGAGCATTGACGAATAAAGAAATAAAAATCGCCTATCTCAGCACAATCATACCGACTATGATCACCCAGGAATGTCTGTCCTTAAAGCTCGTGACGTCACTCCACATCGACCAGCCCCCCTCATTAATATTAATAAGCAGGTGACGTCCTTCAAATTGATATCCCCCCCACTAATAATCCTTAGCGGGTGACGTCACTCAACATCGAACAGCCCCCCTCATTAATAATCATAAGGTGCACTCCTCTTCATAATAATTATTGGCTGACGTCACTCCACATGGGGGGCCGAGGCGCCTCCCCCCCCTCCTCGGCGTCAACTTACAACCCTCACTACAAAGGCAGAACCCTCACGTCACGTGATCTCCATAACGCTGTTGAGACATCAAAGTAAAAAGGACGTCATGATGAACAAGGGATTATAACATTGTTGGTTCTTTCGGTAAAGTCACGTAGAAGGGAAACAATAAAATAATAAAAATATAAAACATTTCTCACGACGTTTCGACTGCAACACAAGCAATCATGTGAAAACCACAACAAGAAAAATTGAAAAAGGTGGTGGTTTTTTAACGTTAGCACCACGGAGAGCGATTTGACAGTTTGTTCAGATGGAGGAGTCCATCTATGCTGGGAAAAGAGGGGGGAGACGAAAAATAATGGATGCGGTCTGAAAGCCACCTTAAGTGTGATCAATCAATTAAGACCCGAAATGGTTTATCAAATCCTTCCAATGATTGCTAAGCCAGAATCCATCTTCTCGGTTGAAATTGTCTCTGTGTTTGTATATGTGGATAGCCTCATGAACGAATCTCTCATGGTAGCCAGATGGCTTGCAAAGAACCTCTGTCCACATAATATTCAATACTCTAAGACATCCAGTGTATGTTTTCCAATGGGCGCCACAAATGTATAAAACTAATTTTATTGGATTTGAACGCGGAGTTTATTAATAGGTTGGAGCCGCTGATGTGGCTAATAAGTTCTAAAGTCTGCCGCTCAAGCAGCCTGCAGGGCAGCACAAGGTAGCAGCCTGCAGGGCAGCACAAGGTGGCAGCCAGCATTTTGCAGCAGCCGGATATCCGGTTATCCCGATTACCTACTTTCCCAAAATTCAGGGGGGCTAAGCCCCCCCCCCCAGCCCCCCCTGTGGCTCCGCCCCTGTATGTGGGTATATTCGCAGACCTTTTGCACAATGCTACCTGTGTTTATTTCCCGTGTACTGTTTGGAAGATTGGGCCCACGATGGATACTTGTGAATTATACGTATAAGAGATATCCTGCACAGTAAAACCTTGGGTTGCGAGCATAATTCGTCCCGGAAACGTGTTTGTAATCCAAAGCGCTCGTAGATCAGTTGTGATCACGTGACGCTCGGCAGACGTATACGTACTACTCGTATTGCAAGACCTCGCTCGTTTATCAAATTAATATTTATTAAAAAAATTTGCTCGTCTTGCAAAACACTCGCAGACCAAGTTACTCGCAATCCAAGGTTTTACTGTATATGGATATGTATACATATTCTATCCTCCACGACACTTTTCGCTGGTTGCTTCTGCTTCGACGCAGTCAGGTTCAACATTTCATTGGCCACAGCGTCCCGGCTCATTCCGGCAATGTTCGGCAAGGAAACACAGCCACCTCAAAGGGATTCAAGACGAGGAGAGTTTTCTTTAGCAATAAGCAGCGCTTCATTGTTTGCGGAGCAGTGCCATCGTTAAACGGCGTCAACCGAGTGACGTGAATTCGATTCCCGTGCAGGCCTGACATCAGTGAGTAGTTATAGGTGTTACCGGTCTTGTCTGCCCCCCCCCCCCCCCCGGGTGCGGTGAAGTATGGTCGAACAACCCTCGTGACGAGACAGACTGGCGGGGGGGGGGGAGACCTTCACCATTGGACTGACCACGGACTGCGTTTAATTTCTATTTCACTTTGATAGCGATTGGCAGGAGGGAGGCATGTATGGGTGGGGTTTTAAGACAGATTTCAGTTCTGTGGCGTCTCCACCACAGATCTCGGTAGAGAGACCCTGGTAAGTCCTGCGCTAGAGAGAGGAGAGAGAGAAGAGACGGTGCTTTGGCCTGGGGCTGTGTGGACGTGCCTGATTGTGGAGCTGTGTGAGCGCGCTGGAAACACGTGCTGTTTTGGACGCACCTGGGCAGACACTGCGATGAGTTTCACATCACAGAGTGGTACAGCATTGGCACTATTCATACATTAAAAAAACCCAGTTTTTCCAGTGTCGTACCAATTAATCACACAAATACAGTATATTTTATTTAGACTTTAAACTTTCGTGGCTGCAGGAATTCATATTCTTGGTTATTTTGGTAAAGTCACGTAGATAGAAAACAAATAAAAATGTAAAGTAAAAAACCCACGACGTTTCGATCGCAACACAAGCGGTCTTCTTCAGGTGGAAGACCGCTTGTGTTGCGATCGAAACGTAGTGGGTTTTTTTGTTTTAATTTAGATTTTTGTTTTTTATCCACGTGACTGTACCGCAAGAACCAAGAATACAGTATATTTTTCATTATTTCGCTGCTATAAATTGCCGCATGATAAGCCACTTAGTTGAACTATCATTTGTGGCAAGGTTGCTTCTGAAAAATAAACTAATAGCTCAGTGGGCTATACGGTGCACTCCGATCGGTGTTTTGTATCGTTATAACGTTCTGACCCCGTGCCCCTACTGGACAGCTGTGAAAGAGCTTCATAGCTCATCGGATTTCTCCTGCAGCACAAATAAAGATTCTGATTAATAAAAACTCTGATTCCATAATGCGAGTGTTTTATTTGGGGCGTTAGATCGCGTATGAAATATAAATGTATCGTTAAACCCGCCACCACCCGACACAGCCAGCCTGCAGCAGGGGGGGCGGGGCTGGGGTTGTGATGCCCCGCCCCTGCGGGAGAGGAGGGGGGGAGGTGAGATGGGGGGGATAAACATGGGGGAGGAGAGAGAGGGGGGGGGAGAGTGGGGAGGAGGAGAGAGGTGGGGGGGAGAGTGGGAGGGGAGAGTGGGGGGGGGGAATTGGCGCATGCGCAGTGCGAAGCAGCACGTGACCAGGCCGAGGCGACGCAGGAGCGAGCAAGCGACGAGTGTGTAGGAGGCCGTCGACGATTTGCAGCCGTCATTGTTGTTGGCGTCGTCGTTGTTGTTGGCGTCGTCGAAGGACCGCGCCGTAGCGGGCAGCCGTTCGTGTCGCGGAGGGAACGAACTTCTTTGCTTTCTACGTCAAGGCGGCGCGCAGATCCACGGAGGGAGATGAAGGCGGCGGAGCTGTGCGCGGTGGCGGTGGCGCTGATGACGACAGGCGAGGCAGAGCACCGTGCCAACACCACAACTACCACCACCACAACTACCACCAGCACAACTACCACCAGCACAACTACCACCACAATCACCAGCAATACCAACACCACAATCACCAGCAATACCAACACAACTACCACAACTACCACCACAATCACCAGCAATACCAACACCACCACAACTACCACCACAATCACCAGCAATACCAACACAACTACCACCACAATCACCAGCAATACCAACACCACCACAACTACCACCACAATCACCAGCAATACCACCACCACCACAACTACCACCACAATAACCAGCAATACCAACACCACCACAATCACCAGCAATACCAACACAACTACCACAACTACCACCACAATCACCAGCAATACCAACACCACCACAAACACCAGCAATACCAACACAACTACCACAACTACCACCACAATCACCAGCAATACCAACACCACAACTACCACCACAATCACCAGCAATACCAACACCACCACAACTACCACCACAATCACCAGCAATACCAACACCACCACAATCACCAGCAATACCAACACAACTACCACAACTACCACCACAATCACCAGCAATACCAACACCACCACCACAATCACCAGCAATACCAACACAACTACCACCACAATCACCAGCAATACCAACACCACCACCACAACTACCACCAAAATCACCAGCAATACCAACACAACTACCACCACAATCACCACCACAACTACCACCACAACTACCACCACCACAATCACCAGCAATACCAACACACACCCACCACCATACCAACACAACTACCATCACAACCATCACTACCACCACTAGAACCACAATCACCACCACTACCACCACAATCACCACTACCACCACAACCACGCTACCACAACTACCACGACAGCCATCACTACCACCACTAGAACCACAATCACCACCACTACCACCACAATCACCACTACCACCACAACCACGCTACCACAACTACCACGACAGCCATCACTACCACCACTAGAACCACAATCACCACCACTACCACCACCACTACCACCACAATCACCACTACCACCACAACCACGCTACCACAACTACCACGACAGCCATCACTACCACCACTAGAACCACAATCACCACCACTACCACCACAACCACCACTACAATCACTACCACCACTAGAACCACAATCACCACTGCCACCACTACCACCACTACAATCACTACCACCACTAGAACCACAACCATCACCACTACCACCACTACAATCACTACGACTACGCCATCACCATCACCACTCCACCCCTAATTATATCATTCAACACGCGTACGTTCTCCATAGCATGTTTCTCTTTTTGTTCACTCATGTGTGAGAATTGCATTGTGATAAAATACTTTATAGTTTAAATACAATATATAACATGGTGCAATACTGTACCTACAGCATACCGTACAACACGCACCTCCCAGATTAGCGCGTTACGAGATAATTTAAACCAACCTAATATTACAATTTTGATTTAAAGCTTATTTTTATTATGTTATTGTTTCCCTTCTACGGGATTTTAACGAAAGAACCAAGAATATCAACCTAATATGACTCTCTAACCTTTTTGTCTTAAGACCTACCGTACATTATATCCTTGCATTGTACACGATAACAAAAGCAACGGAACTTGTCACGATTTAACAAAAGCCATTGTACTGCACTGCTGTGCGTCCGC